GGCTTTGCAGTCTGGTGCATTAACCCACAGTGCCACACCAGGACTTTTGTAAGGATGTTGTTGTTGTTGTGAATGTAGATCTCCAATAATAACACTCCAAAACCAAGATTCTAGGGGCAGTTTGGCCAAGAGGATTCCAAGACCTCTCTGATCGCAGCCATAGCAGAGAGCACATGGAGTGAACCTGGTCATGTGGACATTCTTTTAAAAAGAGAGAGCTACTCTGAAGCCAGTTTAAATGTATGTCAACAAGCTCAGGCAAGAAACTGCTCTAAAGCCTAAGTCAAATCATGCCCCACAGTCAAATATGAGGGGGCTTTAAAAAGTTGGTAGAAAAACTCCATTATCTTTCCATTTCATTTTCCACTAACTTTCAGAAGCCTCCTCATGCACTGACCAGGAGAAACAGGTAGCTAGTCTTGGTTTGATGAGCAGGCATGCCACAAGGAGCCTTGCAAATAGCAGGACACACACTGGCTCCTGTCTGCGCAGGAAGTCCTAGGCCTGTGTCCCTTCTGCTCGGCCCAGCTGAGTGACAGGCCCTGGTGGCGTTGCATTGTTCTGGGTGGTTGGTTCCCTGAGCACCTTCCTTCAGAAGACAGTTTTCCTGGTTAACTAAGGGGAATGGGGTGAGGAGGAATTCAGAGTGGGGATGTTAATCAAAAAGACCATCTCTGAAAAGGACAGAGAACGCTAACTCATGAGGTTGGGAGCCTGGGGAGCCAAAGAATTTGTATTTGTGAGGGGAGGGCCTTTGACAGGGTCACCATCCAGAGGAGGCACTGTGTGCAGTAGTGGAGTGGGGTGGGGTAAGAGAAGCCCCCACAATCCTCAACCTGGGCTACGGGGTCCTCACAGCTAGGAAGCCTGGGGCAAGGGCAATAACCCAGTAAACAAGGTGAGCACGTGCTTACCTGTGTTGTTGTTGTTGTTAGGTGCCATCGAGTTGGTAGACTCACAGCAACCCTATGCACAACAGAACGAAACACTGCCAGATCCTGGGCCAACCTCACAATTGTTGCTACACCTGAGCCCATAGCTTCTGCCACTGTGCCAATCTATCATGTTGAGGGTCTTCCTCTTTTTCTCCGACACTCCACTTTACCAACATGATATCCTTCTCCAATGACTGGTCCCTCCTGACAACATGTCTGGCTGTACTTCTGCCAACACAGATCTGTTTGTTCTTTTGGTAGTCCATGTACTTCCAATATTCTCCTCCAACACCATAATTCAATGCATCAATTCTACAGTCTTCCTTATTCACTGGCAAGCTTTCACATGCATATGAGGTCATTGAAAATACTATGGCTTGGGTCAGGAGCACCTTAGTCCTCAAGCTGACATCTTTGCTCTTCAACACTTTAAAGAGGTATTGAGATTTACCTGTACTTATTAATCTGTAAAGAACAACTTCACATGGGTTTTCACCTTTGTTAGTAAGGAAGCACAAGTAAGTTTACACTTACTTGATGAGGTGGAAACCATGTGAAACTGTTCATATTAGTAAGTAAGCGCAAGTAAGCAAGTGCTTACCCTGATTACTGGATTCTCCATCCCTGTCAGGAACTGTATATGTGAAAGAGGTCTTTCTGTAGGAAGGTGCTGGAAGGATTGAGAGACAGACAGAAGTCAGCCAGACCTAGAAGGCACAATCTCTGATGTGGTGAAAACATGTGACATTGTTCACTAGGAACAGGTAAGTAAGCACAGGTAAGCCCATGCTTACTTTGCTTGTTAGATAATCTGATATTGCCGTGGGAGAGTCGGCCTGGAGGTGAAAAGCATCCCCAAGTCCTTGTTTTCTGGCCTTTTCTTCTAGCCCCCCACAAGGCTTGCTTGGTTGATCGTGGGCAAAGTGAGGGCAGGAACACAGGACAGGCATGTCGGCAGTCAGGGTGACCTGTTAGACTGCACTGCTTCAAGCAGTGAGGGGCAGTGAGACAACTTGGAAATAAGCAAATGGTTTCTAACAAGAAAACCGTGCAGGATTATGTCGTTTGGGGAAGTGTTGGGTGGAGTGGTAAGGTTTGGGGGTCAAAATTGGATCCATGTGGATTCAGGAGGGTGGAAAAGTTATGATGGGAAGAGATGCCCGTGCTCCCTCCCCTCTCTGGTGAAGTCGTTGAGTCCCAGCTCAGGGTGGGTAGGGAAGGCCACTGAACCTCACTTCCAGGCAGGCGCCTCCCCCTTGAACTTTCAGATTCCCGTGTTTCTCTCGTTTCCCATCTCTCCTGGCTAAGTTGTTTCCAGCAAGAGAGCAAACCTGGCGCTGAAGAGCAATTTCTCCTGGTGTGTATGACTCACTGGAAAAAGTGTCTTGTGGGCTATTAAAGGGGAGGGGGAGAGACATTTAAAACATTTGTGTTCCCAGCAAATTATATAGAAACCAAGCAAAGTACGTAGAATTCCAGCAGCGACTAGCACCTTCCCCAAATAAACAAGACAGAAGGAATATGGCTCTGTATCTAACAGCACACAGCTCTTCCAGAAATGGCTTAAATGCTTCCGAACAGAGCAAGTAAACATTGTCTAAAACAGAGATCAACCGCTGCTTAATAGCATGGAGAACACGTGTCAATCTACTGAGCTCACATGTGCACAAAACATGGGGTTTCTGACTCCTTCATGCTTGCAAGTCCTCCTCCATTCCAACTGATACAGGGTGTCCCTGACAGTTGTGCCTCAATGTTCCCTGGAGCACCAATTACAGAAGCCCAAAGGTGGAAACAACCTGCCTCCATCAGCCAATAGATGGATAAACACATTATGAAATCTACATGCAATGAAATATTATTCAGCCATAAAAATAAATGAAGTTGAGATGCATGAAGGAACCTGAATGAAATTGGTCAGTCACGAAAGGCCAAATACTACATGGTCTCATTTATATGCAACTACGAGGGGTCCCGTTGGAGGCTGTAGGAAAAACACTGGACCACTAACCATCTGGTTGATGGTTCAAACCCACTGGTCATCCTGATTTCCAAGGAGCACTCTGGCTGTATTTCTTCCAACACAGGTCACCACGGGTGGCAGAACTTTCAGCATCACAGCCATACACAAGCCACCACAGTAGGAAAAGCTAGAGCAGAGAGCCTCATCTTTTGCCCTAGGAGTGGCTGGTGGGTTTGAACTGCCAACCTTGTGGTTAGTAGTCCAGTGCCTATGTTACAGCACCATGAGGACTCTTTTAACAGAGGCCAAGGTGACAGAAAACAGAGCCCACAGACCAGCATCCCCGCTCCCTCTCCTCCCACATCCTGTGCCTAAGAGCTGCCCCTGTAGAAACTGCTCATCAGGACCCGCGCCAAACTGAACAGATAGCAAACACCTGTGCTAGCAGGTAGTCCCTCATGGGGAGGTACTGCAAGGTTCATATAGAGGCCTTGGCCAATCACAATGCTAACAACACAACAATGCCAACAATAACGACAACCCAGAACCTAGAGGCAGCCTCAGAATCTTTCTTAACACAGTACCCAGGGAGCCATTCACAAACCAAAAGGAGCGGACACCTTTTCAGAAAGGCATTCTGCCTGCCAGTCTAGGAATGGGCAGCAATGTAAGCTTGGACTTCGCCAGATCTGGGTTCTAATCAAACTCTATTCCTTACCACTTGTGTGCTCTCTGGCAAGAGATTTCATCCCTACTTCAGTTTCCTCATCTGTACAATAGGAACAATGAAAGCTGCCTCTTAGTCATTTGCACACTGAATGAGATCATGCGCCAAAGGACGTTGTTAGGTGTCAAGTCGGTTCTCACCCATAGCGACCCTCTATAGGGTTTCCAAGGAGCAGCTGGTGAGTTTGAAATGCCAACCTTGTAGTTCAATCCAACCTTGCAGTCCAGGTGCTTATTCTACAGCACCACACCACGACTCCACTTAGTAAGCATGTTTTAATGGGGCATACATTTTATTACTGTCTTTGTTATTTTTCACTTAAATGCTGAGATATCTAACTTTTGGAATTCACATGTTTGTTGTTGTTAAGTGCCGTCGAGTCGGTTCTGACCCATAGCTACCCTGTACAGGGTTTCCGAGGGTGTAAATCTTTACGGGAGTAGAAAGCCTTATCTTTCTCCCGTGGAGCGGCTGGTAGTTTCGAACCGCTGACCTTAAGGTTCGCAGCCTGATTCGTAACCACTACGCTACTTAGAGAGTATAATACACTGGATTTGTCATATGAAACCTGGTGCCTTCAAACATTTTTCTATTTCTCCAGAAAACTCAGAATTTCATATTCTAGTGGGTAAAGGAGAAAGGAGAATGGTTGGTCTGTTTTGAGAACATTTTAAATGTGACGTCATTGGTAGTTAGGGTAGCATAGTCATCTTCTGGGATCAAAAGATGACCTTCAGTATCATGCCTCTTACTGGACTCAGAACAGGTTCTCAGAAGCACAGTGCTATCTCACGGTTCAACACCTACACGCTCTTTACTTTCCAGGTGGCTCAGCTGTTCAAAGTCATTCCATAACTGTCGGTCCCATAAAGCAAGCTGCAGTCTCTCTACTCCGCTGTTTCTGTGGAAATTGTATCACGGTCTTTTCTCCACCACGGCGGTGCTGTGGCTTCTGTGTACCATTCAGTTGGTTCCGACTCAGAGCAGAGCTGCCCCACAGGGTTTCCTAGGCTGTCTGTCACCTTTGTGGAAGGAGCCCTCCCTGGTGGTAGAATGGGGCTAACCAGAAGGTCAGTGGTTTGAACTCACCAGCTGCTCCACAAAAGACAAAACCCTCTGTACTGATAAAAACATACAGCTTTGGAAGCCCAATGGGCAGTCCTGTTCTGTCCTACGAGTCGGAATGGACCTGAAGGCAGTGGGTTTGGTTTAGTTATCTTTATGGGAGCAGACTGCCAGGTCTTTTGTCCCGTGGAACCGCCGGGACCTTTCAGTTAACATTGCACACACACACACACACACACACACACCCATTCCAGTGTGTGTCATAAAGCAGCACCTGTCCATTTCATCAAGTGACACCAGGTTATGTTACCTGCTGAAGAAAGCTGACACATTCTCATAGACGGGGACGGTCTGCATTTTGTGGTGTAGTTGCAAGTAGACCCAAAACAGCACAGTCTTCAGAAGATGAAACTCACTAAATGTAAACAAACTGGGTGAAAGGAAAGAGTAAACTGTTAGGAATGGTAAATGCCCAGACCAGGGGTGCAGAACCTTTGTCCTGCCAAGGGCCATTTGAATATTTATGACATAATTAATGGACCATACAAAACTATTAACTTAAAATTAGCCTGCTTTCATATAATGAAGGCGCTCTGGTAGCGTGGTGGTTACGAGTTGGATTGCTAACCTCAATGTCAGCAGTTCGAAACTACCAGCTGTTCCACTGGAGAAAGATGAGGCTTTTTGCTCCCGTAAAGATTTATAGCCTCAGAAACCCTATAGAGAGTCGCTATGAGTCGGAACCGACTCAACGGCACATCACCACCACCACTACCATCATGTAATGGCTGGAACGGGAACCTTGGCAAATTATCTTACAGACCTTATTTGGCCCTAGGGCCAGATGTTCCCCACTCCTGGCTTAGACCATTCACTTAAGGGAAAATAAAAAGTTAGAAGTGAGTTTAGGAATGAGGCCGTATAGCCTCTGGGTTATGCGCCAGCCTCAGAAACAGCCGAGTGGCCCACTCAATGTCACGTGGTCTGTAGGGACCCCTGAGCCAGAGTCTGAGTAATCCACCTACCACAGGTTGGACACATACAGTGTTCATTCAGTGTTCTTCACTCGGACCAGATGTTCCCAGGGTGTTTTCCGTATATTCCCATATTTTAACCCATACAATAGCCATAGAAAACTGGGACCTAGTCCTTATTCTTAAAGATGTGACTGTTAATTAGAATCATTGAAACGAAATGCAGTGTATGATTTGTTGAATGTAAAACTGATGATCTGCTCTGTAAACCTTCACTCAGTTAACACACACACACACACACACACACACACACACATACATACAAGTTTTGAAGGAAAAAAAGTGTGGGTATTAAATGAGACGAAGCCTATCTTTACTTAAAATGTTGTAGATTTAAAAACTTTTTTTAATTAAAAAAATATTGCAAACAAATATAATTCATCTTAATGGCTGAGTTTTCTAGCACCACGCACCTTTAATTTTAAATGCTTACGGAGTGCCTTACGATCCTCACCCTCATCCCAATCAGACTGAGCGTCTACAACATCTCCAGCTTACAAGATTCTAGAATTTAGGGTCATGAAAGAAACTCAGTTCTACCCCAAACCATCTTGGAACCTCCTGCGAGGTGCTTTGTGGCCCTTTAGCTGCAATTTCCTCATCTGTAAAATAGCAGGGGAGCCACTGGGTGGTGTAGACAGTTAACACACTCGGCAGTTAACAAAGTTTGGAGGTACAAGTCCGTCCATGCAGAGGTGTCTCGGAAGGAAAGCCTGGTGGCGTACTTGTGAAACAGCAGCTGTTGTTGTTGTGAAGTGCCATTGAGTCAGTTCTGACCCATAATGACCCTGTATAGGGTTTCCAAGCAGCAGCTGGTGAGCTTGAACCATCGACCTTGCAGTTCAAACAGCTTTGCAGTCTGGCGCATTAACCCACAGCGCCACACCAGGTAACCTTTATGGAGCAGAGTTCTACTCTGACACACGGGAGGCTGCCATGAGGTGGAACGGACTCAACAACCAGCTGTTTTAGCAGATCAGAAGGTAAGACTGTGAACCACAAAGTCGGTGGTTCGAGTCCATCAGCTGCACTGCAAGAGAAAGTTGAGGCTTTCTGCTCCTGCAAAGATTTACAGCCTCGGAAACCCTATACATGGTTGGTATGAGTGGGAGCTGAGTCAATACACTTAGTAATGCCCACAAAGATTCACCATCTCAAGAAGCCTAAGGGCACCTCTCCTCTGTCCCCTATAGTGTCCCTAGGAGTTGGAATAGACTTGATGGCAGCAGGTGCGGTTTGTGGTTACACCAGGCCCACCTGGAAAGCGAGGCTCTACTCTTTATTATATGGTCAGCATGTTAATAAACTTTTTTCCATCTGCTACCTCTGATTGGGCGGGGGGCGAGAGGGAAGGAGTGCAATGGCTGCATAAGATAAACACTGGACTACAAACCACAAGGTAGGTGGTTTGAGTTCACCAGCTGCTCCTGCAAAGATTGACAAGCCTGGACAACCCTATTCAGACTCAAGGTCAGTCTGAATCTGAAGGACTCCACGGCACTTAACACTCACTACCACCTTCCATGTATCCAAACATAGTCCAGCTTCCGGGGAGTGGCACCTGAACATATTTGGAAGCCATCACAGCATCGATCACACACATACATGTGGCAGGCATGCAGGGGTGAGGTCAGCTGATGTTCCCGGAGCCCACATGCTGCCTGCAGTGACAGGAACCTCCCACCAGAAACAAGGACAAAGAGTGGCTGCTGCCCTCTAAGAGGTCCGCTTCTCTAGCCACAACCTGGTTATCTAAGAAGTCATTTTAGCGTTTCTTAAACCCACTGATACTTCAGTCTTGATTTGACCAGAGCATCTTATCATTCTCCCGTGGAGTGGCAGGTGAGCTCGAACCACTGTCATTGTGGTTCACAGTCCAGTGCTTATCCTATAGAGCTACTGTGTTCCCTACCTGGTTTCTTAGGGCTGGCCAGTTCTGGCTGTTTTCTTCTCACGGCTGGCAAGCCCCAACCTCCACAACAAATGAGGAGGTCCAAGGTCAAGATCATGGACTTGGGAGTCAAAGGAGACCTGGCCCCATGCCACGCCGTGTCCATGTTTAGGACACACCTGTTAAACACCCTGCCCGTCAACAACTTCATCAGTGGAAGAAGGCTAGTAAATGCGCCCATTGCACGGACTTGCAGGGACTCATGGATCAGTGTACGCAGCGTGTTGTTGGTGGGTGCCGTCGAATAGATTTGACTTACAGCAGCCCTCTGTACAAGAGAACAGAACACTGCCCGCTCCTGCCCCCGCCTCTCTATCGCTGCCATGTCTGAGCCCACTCTTGCAAGCACTGTGTCAGTCCATCTCACTAAGGGTCTTCCTCTGTTGCACCGACCCTCTACTTTACCCAGTATGATGTCTGAGGTGTAGTGAATTGCTTAATACATCTCCTCTAGTCTTAGTCTTTGTAACTTCCACCAAACGACTTTCTTCCTGGTGGGCGTGGGGAAGAGATGGTGGGAGGAGACACTGATGGGCTGGCATGATTCAGCTGTGAAGGGTAGCTAGGTGAACTGGAATCCTACAAACATGAAACTCTACCATGGGTAGAAAAGGAGCCATCTCAGGGCAGTGACGCCAGGGATGGAGACAGGGACGATGACGTGGACAGATGGAGCAGCTGGGGACACTGGACTTAGGGAGAGAGAGGGGCTGTGTGCTGATGGCTGGGGGGCAGGCTTGTGGGGTGTATCCTTTGGTTATTTGATGATGATGCATGGAGGGGATTGTAATCATTGCAATCAAACAAAATAAATAAGAAGAATGTAAAACTGATGTTCTCCCATGTAAACCCACATAATTCACAATAAAAACTTAAAAAACAAATTAAATTGTTATGAAACGAATCACTCATTCAACTCAAAGCTTTTCTCTGAAAAAAAAAAAAATTAAAAAAAGCTCATGAAAGGCCAGCTAAGATGCAACTATTGGTCTGTGTGGAAGAAAGAAGCGTGATGAAAATTCAGAGATGCTTGGAATCAGCAAGTTCAGTGAACCAATGGAGCAGGTGAACGGAAGTCACCACAACCGTGAGACCAGAAAAACTAGATGGTGCCTAGCTAACTCCCACTGCCAAGTGCTCTGGAAGGGATGACATTAAAAGGTCCTAGATAGAGTGGGAGAAATTGTGAAACAAAACTCAAAATTAAAAGAAGAGACTGAGCTTACCCATCAGAAAGAGACTGGAGGAAGGAACCCAAGACCATGACCCTCAACCATCCATCAGGACTGGGACAGAATGTAGGTATACAGGCACGAGAACAACCCTAGTAAGGTGTGCTCACATGGATCTGTCAATCATTCAAGATCCAAAAGGGCAACACTTGCCTAAGGACAAAGTGGTGACTGGAAGGGAAGGAGGGTGGAAGGGAATAGGAGGAAGTGGGATAACTGCTGTTTCAGGGAGGGGCATATACTCACTGAGGTGAAACAAAGTGCACAGTTTGTCGAATGTAAAACTGATGATCATTTCTGTAAACCTTCACTGAATTCACAATAAAAAGAAAAAAAAAAAGGAGCCATCTCAAAAGCCGGGGGTAGCGGGTAGGAATCTCACAACCATCAAGGAAGAGCTAGGAGTGAGTTGCGTCCTCTGGACCCCAAGACCCCTGCACACTGAACCTCCTGGACTCAGGGACAGACACCTGTGACATTGGAGGAGGGGCAGAGGAGCAGCAGCAGCAGAACCAAGAGCCAGAGCACGAGACAGAAGCCCACTGCAAGGACAGCTGAGGGACTGTGGGTAGGAGGCCTGCTTGTAGAGTGGGGGTTGGGCAAGGACATTAAGTGGGGGAGTTAGGATCACTGACCCACAGAGCTAGAGCTGAGGCTTCTGGTGGGGTGGTGTGTCCTGTGGGCATTTATCAGCAGCTGATTGGAACAGTTGTTCCCTAAGCATTTTCTGATTCGGTATTGTAACCTGTTCACTTCCTAATAAACCCCACAGCTGTGAATGTGACGTCAGAGTTCTGTATGACGTTGCAATGAATTACTGAACTCGACAGAGCAAAGTGTGAGTCATGGGAAAGACGGCTGGTACCACATCACTCCTCTAGGGACTGGTCCCTCCTGACGACATCTCCAAAACATGTGACACCAAGTACCACCATTCTCCCTTCCAGGGAGCATCCTGGCTGTACTTCTTCCAAGACAAATCCGTCCACTCTTCCAGCAGTCCATGGGAGGCTTGATACTCTTCACCCACTCGAGTAACTTAAATGCAACAATTCTTCTTTGGTCTTTGGTCTTCCTTGTTTGTTATCAGTTTTTCAATATATATGAGGCAACTGAAAATGTGGTGGTGCACCTGAATCCTCAAAGTGACACCTTTGTTTTTGAAGGTCTTTTTGTAGGCAGCTTAGCACCCACCCATGAACATCCAATGAAAGTCAATTCAACAAAAGGCCCACCCTCCTCAGGAGTCTATGGTACCAGATCCAAGAGCAAAGGTCCTTCCACAAGAGACCCTGGGTGTTTATGTTTCTAACAACCTCACCATGTGTGGGGTGTGGCTCCAGCCACCGTCTCTTGTGCCTTCTGTAACTCCCCACTTCTCAAGCTTTTAGGCAAACCTTCTAGAAGTCAGGTGGACAAGGGCAGTTCACCTGGTGGGGGGCGGGATGTGAGTGCCAATAACTGTCATTCCTGGCCATGCTTACCTTAATCATCCATCCCTGAGGTCACTCAGAGCCCTGGCTCAGTGGAGACGGTCCTGGGAGGGGCTGGAGGGCCAGCACCCAGTGTCCACACAGTCATGTCTTCCCAAACCTGTGAGTCTAGACACTGTATGGGTCATACTCTTGAGCACTTTCCCGCCCAGCGTCCGCTCTGTAAGGCCAAGCCCATCATTAACGTGCTGGCTGTGGTGAGACATTTGTTTCCTCCTTTCTTGGTTATATGCTACCAGGGTGGGGACAGCTCAGTCTTTCCAAGGGAGGGGCAGTGTGAAGATGAACCCAAGCACTGCCGTGTTTATCTTTCTGCATCGATTGCACAATGGGGGAGAATACCCTGCAAACACATCCAGCACCCGGGCTCCTGACCCTCACTAGTACATAAGGTCTTTGGTGAGACCACAGATCGGTTCTACCCCTGTGGAGATCGCAAGCTACTCACTTAGCACACGGCACCCAGGCAGTGGACTAGGTGGGTCTAGAGCTATTCAGGAGAGGAGTCAGGGCCAGGGGCCTGAATTGATGGAGGAGGAAGACTCCTGTCTCTTTACCCTCTGGTTTCATCTTATTTTCCAAATTGTCCACAATGAATATGAACCAATGTTGGCAGGGGTTTTACAGTAATTATTCATGCAATACGGTTTTCTTAGTTTTCTCTCCCAACAGGCACTAGAGTGGTCTACTCAGATGAAGGAGGGCAAAGGGAACCCTGTCCCAGCCCCATGCGCCCCAATGCCGTCGTCTGTTCCAACTCATGGTGACCTTGCATAGCAGAGTAGATGTGCCCACAGCGTTTCCCTTAACCACCACATCACCAGGGCTCCTGAGCCCCATGCGCAGTGCCTGCATTTCCAGTTGGCTGGGGACCAGGTAGGCAGGAAGTGTAAGGTCAAGGGAAGTTCCACCCTCTGGCAGGTGTCACCTGCTTTCCCAGGGACCAGGCACCGGGAGCAGCTCTTACCTGGGGGACTGGAGCACCCTGTGGAGTAGCTCCTGCGGAATGTTCCGGAGGTGGCTGTTGTACGTCATCACAGGGACCAGGTTCATCTCCAACCACTGCTGACAGGCTCTGGTGAGCTGTTCTTCCTTGTACTGAGAAGGAAAGAAAACCCACCTGAGAAAGGCATTTGTGGAGTCTTGGTGTAGCGCTGTAGGATAAGCACGGGACAAGGTAGGCAGTTCAAATCCACCAGTCCCTCCTCAGAAACCCTATACAGGGTCATTGTGAGTTGGAACCCACGTTAACAGTATTTAACAGCATTTAACAAAGGCATTTGTAAGCCCTCAGCGCCCCCTGCTGTCCAAAGCAGGTATTACATATGTGCCTGTGGAGCTGGGTTGCAGATGTGTTTAATTAATCATTGCTTTAAAAGTAATAAAAGATACAGCAACACTGAACCGCACAGCTAAGACTGTCTGAGCGCCTACCTTGCTCAGCTGACTGAAATCAACCCCCACAACAACCCCTACTTTCCTGGTGAAGAAACAGGCTCTGAGGTTCCTGGGACTTGCCTACTCAAGGGGTAAGCAGCCTTAGTAACTAGACTCCAGTTCTGGTGGTCTAGCCACAGAGCTCACATGCTGACGTCTCTAGGCTAAAGTCAGTGCCTGGTCTCAGACAGGGCCAGTGGGGTGGACCTCAACTGCAGCTCTGTGGCACTTATGGACACACATTCTAAAGGCAAGACAGACGAAAGGACAAGGGTCTTAAAACAGACTTCCCATGTTCTCAGGAAAGCTCCCTAGAGTGACATTCTAATGATCAGTGAGTAAAGATGAGGACACGGAGCTGTCTGTTCAAAACCAGAGTTGAAGCCATTGTTCTTCTCGTGGCAACCCCTGCAACATCCCCATGAACAGCTGCAGATTGGACCACTGGGAGCCAGAGGATTTTTCACTGGCTGACTTGTGGTGGCAGTTTGCCACACCTTTCTTCATTGTCTTAGTCTGGAAGTTACGGTGAAACCTGCTCAGCATCACAAGAGAGAGCAAACCTCAGCAGACAGGTGGGCACCCTGTACAAGGCGCACTGGTCAGGGCTCGAACCAGGAGGACCACATTGTGTGGGAACCATGTCACGGCAAAGCCCTTTGTTTCAAAGTGGTAATGGTCCTCCTGGTCAATGAGGGCTGTGGGGAGGTAGTTGGGGAGTCAGGGGGCCTGAGGTTCAGACCCAGAGCACACTCTGGAACACATGACACTGGCAGGTACCTGTCTCCATGGATCAGAGATGTCATTTAGTCCCATCACACACGGACACGCAGACCAGGGTCCAGGTGGGATGGTTTACCAGCCTCCAGTGACGTGTCTTGACAAGTAGTGAGATAGGCTGGGTCCACCCCCCACCCTCAGGACATTAAGGCCTTCCTATGTTTTAGTCCTGGGGTGGCGCTATGGGATAAAGCACTGGACAGCCAGGTCAGTTTAAACCACAAGGTCGGTGGTTCAAACTCACCAGGTGCTCCTTGGGAACCCTATACAGAGTCAGAGTGAGTAGGAACCCTCTCGATGGCACTTAACTGTTTTAATATTAAAATATTCTTTTACAAATAAAATGATGTTTTTTTAAATATGTTCAGCTGGCAAAACCCCATGTTGGCACCCTGAAGTGGATCCCTTCAGACTTGTATTTGGAGCTGGATCTGGAGTTCTCTCGTCTTTTTATTGTAAATTGAGTGATAGTTGACATGGGAGAACATCAGTTTTGCACTCATCATTTCATTGCAATGATTACAATCTCCTCCGTGCATCATCATTCAACAGTATTTTGGGGTGTGTGTGTGTGTGTACACAATAACACTCAGGAATATATAATCATTTAAACAACCAAAGGGCACATTCTGCAAGCCTGCCTCCTGACTGTCTGGAGTGCTCTGGAAGCTCCCCTCCCAGGTACAACGTGCCCACCTTTCCAGGTAGTGTTTACCTTGCAGCCAGCCATGTAGAAGTCCTTGATGGTACTTGGTGAGATTTTATTCACCATGAAGGCTATACATCTGCAGAGAGAAAATGAATGTTCCTGGAGGCCCAAGGCTGCCTTCAGAGACCTTTGATGTGGAAGGAGCCTCGTCTCAGGGAAGTGGACACTTGGCTACAGTGCAAGTCCAGCAAGGTCTCTTACAAGGAACTCTGGGACGAGGGAGGCCAGGCCTGAGCACAAACCCTTTACAAGGGGAGCCAGGGAGCACTTCCATCATTCAAAGCAAAAGCATTTAAAAGCACTTTTTATGGTTGTTGTTGTTAAGTGCCGTTGAGTTGGTTCCGACCCACAGACACCCTGTATAGGGTTTCCGAGGAATAGCTAGTGAGCTTGAACCACCAACCTTGAGGTTCAAGGCAACTTTGCAGTCCAGCGCCTATTGAGGGTTAATTTCAGTCCGGGCGCCATCTGGTCATCCATCTGCCTGAGATGCTGTTTTCTTTGGAACAGACCACTGCCAGGCTGCTAGATGGGGGTCTGAGTCTGCTTCCTCTCGGGGCTCAAGTGTCTTATTCTGTCATAAAGAGGAGCGGGGTATGGACATCTGCCACAATGTGAATGACCCTTCATGACATTAAGCTGAAAGAAGTCACATAGTGTATATGAAATGCCCACAATAGGCAAATCCACATAGCCATAGATGAGCGGTTGCCCAGGGCTGGGGTGGGGAGAGGAGTGGACAGGACACAGTATCTCCTTCGGGAACATGGGGCTTCCAAGACTCGACAGAGGTTCTGACTCAGGCTAGAGGGACCCAAATGACCAGCAGGCGAACTCTTCACGTGTGTGTATGTATTTATGTGTGTATGTGTTGCGCACACACATGCATCTGACAACAATGACTCCAGCCCCTGTACTGATGCAGACCTTGATCCCTGAATGAAGGTAACATCACCTGATTGAACCTGTGCAAACTTCCCCTAAAGATGGGGCCAGTTACAGGGGCCTGGCAGCCTGGTTTGTTCATTTGTGAAATGGCTGGCCTGGCCTATCATCTCAAAACCTGTCCCGAGCTGGCATTCCAAGCAAGGAGAGCTGGGAAGGAAGGAAAAGGAAGAGGCCCAGATAGGTTCTTCCCCAGATCGGCCAGGGCCATGGACCCAGTGTATGATGGGACCTCAGAGCTGGGCAGCCGTGACCAGAGACAGTCCTTCCAGGGAGCAGGTGAGAGGGTCTTCCTGGACAGCAAAGCAAACAGCTGCTCTGAAGACAAAGCTCTGATTCTGGAAAGTTCTATATGTCACAGGCTAAGCTGAAGATAGGGACACATAGAAGGATGGTGCAGTCACAGGAAAACTCAGACTATTGTCCACCGTAAGCTGCAGGGTCAGCTTCCTCAGTTGGCCCCAGATGAGCCCTGGGCAATCGCTCATCTATGGCTATGTGGATTTGCCTATTGTGGGCATTTCATATACACTATGTGACTTCTTTCAGCTTAATGTCATGAAGGGTCATTCACATTGTGGCAGATGTCCATACCCCGCTCCTCTTTATGACAGAATAAGACACACCCAGCCGACACTCTGGCTCTTCCCCGCTCCCCCACCGTGACCGTGACTCAAGCCCTCCGGGTCTGACCAGGCCAAGCCTCTTAGGCCTTTCTGCTCCTGTTCATGGCTCCCTGCTGCCCAGAGCGCCCTTTCTTTCTCTGAAAACTGTACTGTGAATTGAGTGAAGGTTTACAGAGCAGAGCACCAGTTTACCGTCAACCAATTACATGCTTCGATTCATCTCACTATTTGCAGTTCCCTCTTCCTCCCTGTTTCTTATTCGGCTTGGAAATGGAGCCACACGGAGTGGGTTCCGTTCCAGACTTGAAGGGTGATCAAAGGCCATAGTTTCGGGGTTCTACCAGTCTCAGAGGGCCTTTTCTATGCTGTAGCCCCTGCTTTATGAGCCCTCTGCAGACATATCCAGGTCAAAGCAAACCCCCTGCTTCCTGCCATCCTTGGTCATGGGGCCTGGGTGTCCCTGCCAAGGCTGCAGGATCCTCCCCTAAGACGTGTCAGTGCCCCTAGGTGGGGATGAGGTGCAGGCTCAAGGTATCTGTGGGGTGAAGCTGGCTGTATGGACTTGTCACAAAGTGGGTTGGAATTTGTAAAGTCCCCAGGAAAGACCGTGCACCTGCCCACCACACTAACAAGCACATCTGCCTATTGTAGGTATTTCACACAAGAGGAATCCTGCAATATTTGTCCTTTGTTGTTGTTGTGTGCTGTGGAGTTTCCGACTCATAGCGACCCTGTACAGGGTTTCCAAGGCTGTAACTCTTTACGGGAGCAGAAAGCCTCATCTTTGTCCCACAGAACAGCTGGTAGTTTCGAACTGCTGTCCCTGAGGTTAGCAGCCCGATTCATAACCACTACGCTACCAGAGTGACCGCCTTATTTCACCCAACATAATGTCCTGGTGTGGTGCTGTGAGTCAGCACTGGACTGTGAACCACAAGGTCAGCAGTTCAAATCCACCAGCTGCTCCTCAGAAACCGTATACAGCGTCGATATGAGTCAGAACCAACTCGATGCCACTTGGCAACAACAAATGTTGGTGATGTTCCAGGTGTCACTGATCAAAGCACGTGTCAGAATCTCATTTCTCTTGTAAGCGGAATAACAGCCCATTATATGTAGGGACCATGTTTTATGTTTATCATCTGCGGATGGGAGCTTTTGGCTTTGTTCAGAGTGTAACTTTCATCAAAAGAGAGAATATCCCTGAAAAGAAAAAGCGAGGTTTTCTTGGAACGAGCGTTGGTGGGAACGTTGGATGGGTTGCTTGTCCTCACAGGGCTGGTTTGAGTGTGCAGGCTCTAAATGGAGGAAACTTTTTAAGGCAAAAATGTAAACTGGTGAAACTGATCATCAGTAACTGTTGAATGCTACAATGAAATCGTTCCATGAATCAAGAATCTCTGGAGTAAAAGGAGGTGCTGGAGACTGGTCTGTTATGAATTCATGTTTCTGTTCCTTTCTAGGTTCAAAGCCCTGCTCAGTGAATTAGTGTTTCTGTTCCTTTCTAGGTTCAAAGCCCTGCTCAGTGCAAAGGAACCCGGAGTCCAGGGAAAGAGAGTGTCTAGGAAGGAGCCCAGTCCCGGACTCGGTCTATCCCTGACAGACGCTGCCCCTGCCCAGTACCTAGGTCTGCCTTACCTCTGGAACAGGACGGAGAACTGGAGGACGTGTGCGGAAGCTAGCACCCCCAGCACGTCTTCTACGTTCATCTCCAAGTCATCCAAGTACAGGTGCTTCAGGGCCGAGGCAAAGGCTGGTGAAGAGACAGCAGCAGAATAGACGGTCAGGGAGGCCCTCTGCACGCAGGAAGTGGCGCCTGCGCACGCCGTGGGGACCTACCTGCGCGCCGCTGTCTTACGCGCGCCCCCTGCTGACCACCTCGAGCATGCGGGCTGAGCGGGCAGAGATGCGCTTGGAGAAGCTGGATCTGCTCTGACCCCAGCGCAGACCAGCCCAGAACCTGACATTCAGCGTCCTCACATCCTCAACCTTACCCCACCCCCAATCCCTTCACCTCTGACCCCCAGAGTTGAGGGTGAAGAAAAAGAAAACTGGACAGACTCCGCCAGAAAGGACATTTGCATATTCTTAGGGGTCACCTAGATCTGGGCCTATTTCTTAACCTGGTTAGGAGCCCTGGTGGCGCAGAGGTGAAATGTTTGGTTGGTGACCAAGAGGTTGTGGGATTGGTAAAGATAACAGCCTCTGAAACCCTAAGGGGTAGTTCTACTGTGTCCTAGAGAGTCTATGGTTTGGAATCCACTCAATGCAGTAGGCTCGTTTGTTTTTGTTTTTTTCCCTGCTAACCTGAAGTCGGCCTGAGTGGTGCAAATAGTTAATAAGTGCTTGGCTGCTAACTGGAAGGTTGCAGGTTCAAATCCACCCCAAAGCACTTTGGAAGAAAAGGTTGGGACTTCAAAAAGTTTGTGGAAACGACCTGAGGCCAGAACTAGATGGTGCCCAGCTATCATTACCAATTGCTCTGAAAGGGATCACATTAGAAAATCCTGGATAGAGTTGGAGAAAATGTGGAAGAAAACTCAAAACCATGAAAAAGAAAAGACCGGTCTTGGTGGTCTCACACAGATTGTCGGAACCCTGAAGCTGTGGCCCGTCCTTGATTCCCCCTTCAGGGCTGGAATAGAACTCACCCCCGGGGGCTCAATTTTCAGCCAAGCAATTGATAGGTGTTGAGGGAAGGCAACAACATTAGTGAGGTATGCCCCCCATAGGAAGGTCAACCACTTGGGGTCAAAAGGGCAGCATGCACCTAAGGACAAAATTCAGAAGGGTGGGCATGGAAAGAACCACCACAGAGAGGAAATTAGAGGAGTGATGTTCCATTGAGGGGCTTGTAATCACTGAGCTGAAACAAAGTGTCTGATTTGTTGAATGTAAAATTGATTAGCTGCTCTGCAAACCTTCACTCAATTCACAATAGAAAGTTAAAAAAAAAAAAAAAAAAAAAAGCTCATAGAAAAATGGAATTCAAAGATCTCGGAAAATTTCCACCAACTTTTTAAAGACTCTTTATGCTTCTCAAGTATCAGCCCTTGGAAACCCTATGGAGCACAGTGTTACTCTGACACACGCGGGGTCACCGTGATTCAGGGGTGACTCCAGGGCGAATGGCTTTTATCCTAACCTGGTGACCATGACCTGTGGGAAGGGGGGTGAGAGTGGGATGGTGTTTCTCTACCCCAAATAAGTGCAACATGTCGTATGCAGGTAGACCTTTATGCCTCTGGAAACGATTCATAGCTGACAACACATTTCCCTTGGAGTCTGGAGCCTTCAGGAATGTTACAGAGCTGAGATCGTTTGAAGGTCCAAGAACTAAACTGCCTTGGCTAGGGACCAGTATGGAGTTGGCTCACCCCAGGCTCTCTAGGATCCCAAATAATGCTGGACTGTGGTTAGAATGTACTCTGAGGACAACTGGCCTTGCCCAGTGCTCAGCTGCACTAGTTCCTGACCTATTAATCCAAGAGTCCATGGCCTCACATGAGATCGGACCTGCACACTAATACATGTTTGTTTCTGGGTGGCGGGGAAGGCAGAGTGAGCCCAGGGGCATATCCCAGAGGAGGCTTCTGCTGCCACAAGCCAGCCAGTGGGTGTGGGGAAGGGCAGTATGTTTTTTATTGGGTCTCTCTTGAGAAGCCTGTCAATTTCTTCCCCACTCTGAGGGCTTATGCGTCTCCCACACACAAGCACCCCTTGTGGTAGCATTCAGCTTTCTTTCCTTTTTGTCAACATTTCCCAGCTCTCTTTCCCTGTCTTCTTTGTACTTGTCTAGTATTTCTAAGAAGGAAGCACTGAACACTGCGTGCCACTTGTTGGCTGTGTTTTTTGTTTAGTCATAATTGGGGAGGGCTGCTTAGTCATTGACATTCCCCAAACATGGAAACAAGTGTACATTACCAACTTTGGTGACCTGTGGGTCATTGATCTTCAAAGAAATGGTCATCTTCTTAATGGGGGGTGGGTCTCTGCTCTTCTCCAGAGATGGAGCTAGGAAAGGAAATTGGATAATGATGTGGTAGCCACAGTGAGTTCTGCAAAATAGAGTGTGAAGTGCCCACCACCTCCCTTGCACCTCAGTCTTTACATATATCACACTACATTTTGATTTTGTTGGAGTAGATAAATTTTTTTTCTTTTTTTAGTTTTTATCGTGAATTGAGTGGTAGTTTAGATGGGAGAACATCAGCTTTACACTTATCCTATCATATTTCGTTTCATTGCAAAGATTACAATCCCTTCCATGTATCATCATTCAACAGTATTTGCTTCTATTCCCTCCAAAACACTCAGGAATATGCAATCATCCATACACCCCAGGTTATATGCTACAAGCCTGTCCCCTGATTGCCAGCACACAACCCCTTTCTCTCCATGAGTCTAGAGTCCCCAGCCTCTCCATCTCTCCATGTCATCATCTCTTCCTCCATCTCAGGCATCGCTGCTTCTCTGAATAGGGTCCCACACTCTACTGTGGCTCTTCTCCCTTGATGGTCCCAGAGTCCTCCACTCCTGGATTGCAAGATCAACCATCACTCTCCTCTTTTTGCTACAAAACCTGAACCTTTACCATTGCAACAATCGCAATCAGTCATAACAATTACTCACTATTGAACCACAAGAGTCTTATCCCCATCTCCTTTCACCAGCCCCATCTAGACAACTTGAAAACCACTCAGTGGAGATTCTACCTTCCCCCGTACTGGATACATTTTTGAAATATATACTACAATTTATGTTATTATTTCTGTTGTTGTTGAGAAGAAGCAATTGCTTATTTTGAAGTTGTTTAAGACTCACAGAAAATCGTAAAAATAGTACAGAGAGTTTCTGTGTGTGGACTTTTCATGCAACTTTCCCCAATGATGAAATCCCACATGTTGTTGTTAAATTCCACTGAGCCAGTTAAAGACCTTGTATAATTTCCAAGGAGCAGCTGGTGGGTTTGAACTGTTGGAAACCTCCCAGTTTAAGGGAAAGCCTAAATTCAGAAAGGAAACTTGTCGTTTGCTCCTGTGCATCAGAGGGTCTCTGAAACCAGGTGGCGAGCTTATTTGGGGAGAAGAGACCTCGTCCTTCTCAGATGTCGCCTGTAGAATAGACACACTCTGCTACCATGATGCAGCAGACCCTCGGCTGTTTGTGGAGCACCAGGGAGCGGCGGCCATGCCTGGCCAGCAGCAGCCTTGGGACTCACAGGTGGGCTGGGTCTCTGCCGAGCCCATGGCGCCAGCACTGGGTTAGAAATGTTCTCAGGCAGCTGACACCAGGCCAGCAATGCAAATGTTTCCAGAACAGGGAACAAATATTGTGAGCTGTGTCCTGCTTTAGAAGCACAGAAAGCTGGAGCAGTGCTCGTGGAGGGTGCTGAGGACAGTCCCAACGCATGAAGCTTCATGGGGGACCCCAGGAAAATCGTGACAATCAGGACACTGGAGTGACAGGACACTGTGGTGACAGAACATTGTAGTGACAGGACATTGTGGTGACAGGACACTGGGGTGACAGGTCCCAGGTGACAGGTCCCAGGTGACAGGGCATTGTGGTGACAGGACACTGGGGTGACGGGGCACAGGTATCAGGACACTTGGGTAATATGAGGACATTGGGGTGATAGGGCACTAGGGTAACAACTGAGGATATTGGGGTGAGAGGGCAGTAGGGGTCATTTCCACCCATAACTTGGACTATCCTGTCATCTTCAGCCTCTTGCACATAGGCTTGGTTTAGAGGATCTGTTTTAACTGATCTTTCATTTTAGCAAAAACATCCTAGACATCGTCAAAACCATTAATGTGAACATACCGTTCTCCCCTCCCAAATTCTCTGAGATGCTGCTCAGTCTGCTGGTAAGTCCTGTCCCCTGTGCTTGGGGTTGATGCACATGATCGTCTCGGGCTGCTCTTGAAGATGCAGGGGCCGATGCCCAGGAAGATAAAGACACAATGAGTGACCCGGGAGGTGGTTAGGGACTCCCCACACCCCCAGCTCTCGGCTCAGCGGGGCAGGGTGGCAGGGTGGCAGTGGGATTCTCTCTCCATGCCCAGAAGGAGCAGGCTGCGGGGGGCTCCAACAGCCCCTGGCCCCACAATAGCCAGGCTCTGCTGCTCTGCTTTAGAAGTGTAACCCTAGTCTGTTGGCAGACTTTCTCATGGCCCTTGTCTCATGGCCCGTGAGTCAGCTTCTAGGATGCCAGCCTGTTGTCTAAAGAAGTTGGCACTAAGCTGGTGAGGATTTATAGGATGGACAAGGAGAGGCTCAGAAGGAGCTCTGGTAGCACTGGGCTGCTAAAGGCAAGGTCGGCTGTTCAAACCCCCCAGTGCTCTGCAGGAGAAAGATTGACAGCTTCGGAAACCCTATATAGAGTTGCTGTGAGTCAGAATTGCCTCGATGGTAGTGGGGTTTTCAAAGGAGAGAACTGGGATTATTAGGGTTGAAAACCAAGAAAACAGAAGTGACATAAATAAATAGTCTTTGGAATGACCTTGATTTAAAGAAACGAAAGTAAAAACTCCTAACCAGCATGTTGTTGTTGTTAAGTGCTGTCAAGCTGATTCGGACTCAGCAATCCTTTGTAGGGTTTCTGAGGAGCGACTGGTGAGCTTAAACCACCAACCTTGCAGTTCAAACCAACCTTGCAGCCCAGCGCATTCACTTACAGTGCCACACCAGGATGTTAGGACCAAACACGCAACCAATGTCAGACTCTGCCTTCCAGAAAGCCCTTCCAACATGACATGATCCATATCCCCAAAAAGGCAGGCAGCATCTCTATGTATAAGTAGGTAAGTCTCTGTTCGGACAAGATGTGGGTTATTATGAGACTAATACAGACACTCAATAAGTGCTTGCTATGTGCCAAGTGTTGTTCTAGAACCTTCTAACCTTCACAGCAACACAGTCAGAACAGTTCTCCCCATTTTACAGCTGAGGAGGCAGGCTAAGTCAGTTGTTGAGATCATTAACGTGAACATACCGTTCTCTCCTCCCAAATTCTCTGAGATGCTCCCCAGATAAACTCCGGGGAGCCTGACCACAGTCTCATTCTTAACAGGCAACCTGACCTTGGTCTCAAAACAGGAACCCAAGGACCCAGTGGGGTATTCTCAAAGTAGAGGGCATTTGGGGCTCCAGGCGAGCTGCCAGTGAGAAGGTACCTTTCTTAAACCTCTCCTGTTCCTTCATGGGGATCTTTGTGCCCCGGTACACAGCCATCAAGTACAGCCTGGCGAGGGTCTCGGACTGAAAGAGCTGTGGATGATGGAGCTCCCACGTGAAGCCCAGACACTCGAGAATCACATCTGAGGAGAGAAAACCTTGCTGAGCAAACTCTGCCGTAATGTCGTGTCCCAAAGAGAAAGGTTTCCTGCATCTTCCTTCCACTTGTCACAGCTATGAAGGTTGAACTATCTGCAGAGTGATTTCTCTTATGACACTGTGGAGTTCTGGTGTGGAGCACTGAACTGATGACAGCAAAGTTGATGGTTCAAACCTACCAGTCCCTCCTCAGAAATCATGAGTCAGAACTGACTCGACAGCAATTAACAACAACAACACACCTCCACTGCCATTGAGTGGAATCAGACTCAGAATGAGCTGGTTAGTTTCCAAAGCTGTTCATCTTTATCAGCGCAGGAAGCCGCATCTTTCTCTCACGGATCAGCTGGTGGGTTTGAACTGCCGATCCTGCAGTTAGGAGTCTAGTGCTTATCCTACAGTACCACCAACAGTCCTTCTTATTGGCAGCTAGGGTCAGATACTTCTTTGTTGTAGAGGGCTGTCCTGTGTATTGTAGGTGCTTAGCTCCTCTGGCCTTAGTTCACTGGATGCCGGTAGCAGCCCACACCCAGTGTGACAACCACAAATGTCTCCAGACATTGCCAAATGTCCCGTGTGGAACACAATCTCCCTCCCCTCACCACTGAGAACTGCTGCACTGTTGTTGTTGTTGTAGGCAGTCAAGTTGATTTCAGCTCATTGTGATCCTAAAGGAAGGACAAAGTAAAACTGCTCCACACGGTGTCCAAGGCTATAATCATGATAGGAGCAGCCACCAGGTGTTTCTGCCACGGTGGAGTGGTTGGTGGGTTCAAACCACTGACTTTTCTGTTAACTGTTATGTGCTTTAACTGCTGAGCCACCAGCTTACTTTTTATTGGGTGGTTATTGATGACGTTAAGTGCTGTTGAGTTGGTTCTGACTCTTAGCAACTCTATATAGGGTTTCCCAGGATCGGTTGGTGGGTTTGAACTGCTGACCATGTGGTTAGCAGTCCAGTGCTGATCCAATAGTGCCACACAGTCAGTGCCCAGCAACAGACAATGCAGGGGAAGTTCTGATGCCTATCCTGAAGGGGCAGGATTCCTGTGAGCCATGCTTTCCTCGAACGATTTGGACTACCAGGAGACCACTTCATGAGTGTGGAATGAGATCAGCGTGTGAAGAAGGCTGTGCAGATGGTAAAAGGCTTTCTGAGGGGATGGGTGGGGTCTCATCTCTGATTCTTTGAGAGGAGGGCAGATGGGGGGTCAGGTGAGGCATAAGAGAGCTGTGCTGGGCTCGACTCCGGAGTTGGTACAGAATTTGGGGAAGGGGCAGTGCAGCTGGAGCTCCCCCCAAACCCAACACCTCAGCGCCAGATGGGACCTTAGGAGTCACTAACCCCATCTGCCCATTTCTCAGCATTGCCCTGCATTTGACTGTATGATCTTCTCCATCTCCATGATATTATTGGGAGCCGTGGTGGTGCAAACAGTTCTACACTCAGCTGCTAATTAAAAGATGGGCATGGTTCTGTGGGGGAAAGACCAGGCGATCTAGTCTAGAAACAATTTCAGTCTAGGAAACTGTATGGAACAGTTCTACTCTGTCACGTGGAGTCTTTAAAACCCCATTTAGTGACGGCACCTCAAAACACATGATTCTGCTTAGTGCTAGAGGACAGAACCTGGGCTTGCATCTCACACTCTGGAGTGCCTTGAAACCTCTCAGGTAGTCTGTTTATAGTGGGTTAGAAAGAATACCATCCATTAGTGCGAGTGTGGGCAGCAGCAGAATTGAGGATCAAGCTGGCAGATGCGGGGCAGACATCACTAATCAATTCCAGCACCCTTTCTTGTAATCCAGAATATTCTCAAGGCCACCTGACAGAGTTGACAGGCGAGATGAAATCTATTAGCCTCCCCTTGGAAAGGTGACGGGGTCTGATTGCAGGTAGCCACTCTGTGGGGTGACGTCTACCCAGGAAATATTTCTTGAAGAAGCTCACCTGTCCAGGATCCTCATGAGGTGAAATGGCCCTTTTCCTAGTGGATGAACCTAATTTGATTCCCAGTCCTACCTCTTGGATGAACGCAGATGTGGAAGTCCAAGTCATGACTGGATAGAGGCTGCAGGGATGAAGAGCATCTACCCACCAGGCCCCAGGGCACATCTAATCCAACCCAAAGGCTATTCACCTGCATCCACACATTTAGGGTTGATGTGACCATTACCATGCTCAAGTGTGTTCACCATGCTTGATTTTCATTCATCATGCATTTGACGAGTACTTACGGGACACCTGTTACTTTAGACACAGTAGAGTGGACACAAATGACAATTTACAGACCAGTGGCCTGGTCTTCCTTCCACCAAGACTAGGAAAACAGCCCGCCCACCCCCACCTCCAATCCCAAGGGCGGTAACATTCTGATTTCCAACACTGGTGATAAGAACTCACCTGCCTCCCCACTTTGGATGGTCTGATTGCTGAGATTTTCAGAGAGAATTTTCTGAATCTGTGAAACGCATGTCCTTTAGGAAAAATACAAACAAAACCCCCCAGGATTTAGCACTGATGTTTTTCTCCAAATGCAACATCTGTCATTTACGTGTACGTTCTCCTCACACATTCGTTGATGTTGTTGTTGTTATTTAGTATTGTCAAGTCCTTCTGACTCATCGTGACCTTGAATAGGGTTTCCAAGGAGCATCTGGTGGGTTTGAATCCCTGACCTTGTGGTTAGCAGTCCAATGCTAACCTGGCCTCCCAGGCATCCATTAAGCCATGTTATTCTATCTTGCCCTTTGGGAGGGTTTCCTCACTATTTACTAGTGTTTGTCAATTTTATAAACTGTCAGCTTTGTCCAATGGCGGACTCCAAGTGTTTATTCCTGCTTTCCCTCTGTGGGTCAGCCTCTCCAAGGGATTATTTGAGGCTGGTGAGTGTCTAAAACAAGATCTGGTGTGTAGGTGGCTTGAGACAGAGACTGGAGAAGGGACAGAGGTTCTGCTCCTTTCTGGGAAGTTAACTCTGATAAACAGTCATTCAGGGCCCAGTCTCAACTTGTCCCCAAACTAAACTCCGAATCCACGCCTAGCTCCTCTGTGTTCCTCTTCCTGGCCTTCCTCACTCAGGCAATGCCAACACCAGCCGTCCAGTTGCTCCAGCCGGTATCCTGAGTGCTATCACGTCTGACCACTCACCTAGATTCACTACATAGTTTGAATTCACCCGTCTCATTTTACCTTTCATTGCTACAACCTTCATCCAAGTCGCCATCCGAAACCAAAAACATCAAACCCATTGGGTCAACTGCAGCTCATAGCATCCCTGTAGGACCAAGAAGAACTACCTCACAGTCTGTCCAAGGCTGTAAATCTATACGACATGGTCACCAAGTCTTTTTTCCGCGTGCCACTTGTGCATTCGAATTGCCAGAGTTCTGATTAGAAGCTGAGTACTTCACCACTGTGCCAACATCATCCAATCACCCATAATCCCTGCCACAGCTCCCAGCCTCCAGCCCTGCTCCCTGCTGGACTACCCTACCACACTGCAAATCACTTCGTGAAGGCAAATCACGTCATGCTCCTCCCTCCTTCGGACTCCTGCGTCTCCCCAGCGCCCCTGGGGTCACGTTCCAACTCCCTGGGACCATCACAAGACCTCCCTGGTCTCTGCCTAGCTTCTTTCTGTGCCCCCAGAGCTGCCCCCGCCCTTCTCCACACCTGACCCCCACTGGCCCTGGCTTGCATTTCCCTGTCTGTTCCCTGAGCCTGGACCTCAGAGTCTAGTGTGGAAGACACACACTTTTTGTCAGGTCTTGTGGGTGCTGGTTTACTTTTGTGTCTTCCACACTAGACTCTGAGTGCCAGAAAGCCATGTAAGCTACTGTGTTTACTACCCTAGGTCCAGCACAGGTCAACAGGCAGGTGGACCAGCCATAACTGTTGAATGAAGGACCATACAGATAAGATGCTTTCCCACAAACACCATGTGCTCATCACGCTGAGCAAGGAAGGAAAATAGTATTTCAGTCCATTGTCATCCAAACAGTTGATGGTCACATCGGTCTGGATGATGTAGTGTCCATCTTGCCAGGCTGTTTTTCAATGATCCCGGAGGGCTCATGGGCCAGGGGATACGGGAGAAGGGTGTGGTGGGGACTCTACTTCAGAACAAGATCAACTACGTGCTGCCCTTTCTGAGGGGGGGCTTGGCTACAAGTGACTCACTTTCAGGAAGGAGGTGGGAGCTTGAGTTGTTTATCCAGCCGGAGGAGTGGACCTGGTCCAAGCCACTCTTAATCCCCCCACCAGTGGCTTGGGTCACACGTCTGAGGACAGCTGGCTAAGGTCAAGAGCTCAGATCGTGATCTCAAAATGGAGCAACAGACTTTGGAAAATCTGGGCAATGCCATGAGCTCAGCTGCCTTCACAAACATCGCTGTCATCAGCCAAGCCAGGCAATGCCAGACAACAGACAGAAACACAGGGACCTCTCTCTCCTGGATGTGACCTCAGGGTCATAGGAAAGGCCAATGAACTGTCATCTGTGACTTGTCTCTTCACGGGGACCAGAGACTGTGAGTGTGTGCTGTTGGGTCATAGGTATCCAGAGGGCAGACAAAAACTGCCCCAGAGGGTTTCCTAGGCTGTCATCTTTACCGGAACAGATGGCCCGCTCTTTATTCCCATGGAGCCGCCAACTGGGCTCAAACTGCTGACCTTTCATGGCTAGCAGCTGAGCGCTTTAACCATTGCTCCACCAGGACTCTTTTAGGACTAGACACTAACCCACCTCCATCAGATCAAGTCCAACTCAGAGCAATTCCCATAGGACAGAAGAGGGTTTCCAGAGCTGTAAACCTTTATGGAAGCAGACAGCCTCATCTTCCTCCCTCAGAGCTGCTGGTAGGTTTGAACCACCAACCTTGCTGTTAGCAGCCCAACACTTAACCCACTGCACCATCAGGGATCCTTGGGACTAGCGGCTAGTTGGGACTAAATGCCCTGTCATAAGAGGTATGGGAGGACTTTGGGGATGCTCTGGTAACGTAGTGGTTATGAATTGGGCTGCGAACGGCAAGGTCAGCAGTTCGAAACTACCAGCTGTTCTGCAGGAGAAAGTTGAAGCTTTCTGCTCCGGTAAAGATCTACGGCCTCGGAAACCCTGTGCAGGGTCGCTATGAGTTGGAACCAACACCACGGCACATAACAACAACAACTGCTAGGCTGGGAGCTTGCTGCCCCTAGTTGTGATCCATGATGGATAAAGGAAGAGGAAAAGGGAAAGGCTACGTTTTGACTTTACTGCAGCGAACCAAATGAAGTGCTGTTGGCTGCTGACTTTGAACGCACAAAACTCCAAATTAATTGACTGGGTAGTCATGCAGAGGTAGGTCTGGGTACCAGTCCTTCTGCTTCCTAGTCACGTGGTCCCAGACCAGTTTCTCTCCTCCAGAAGATGGAGACGATGAGCCCACTTAGCAGTTGGAAGGAGCAAGAGGGCAAGTGCTTGAGAAATGCCTGATACCTGGCCCACATTCTGTCTCATTTGATCTTTATTTATCTGCCCCATTTGTTGATACCTTCATTTTAGATAACGGTCTTCAAGGAACCTGACTTAATTTAGACCCCTGCCCCTATAAGGAGATCCTGAGATAAGGATTTGGGAGCAAGTAGGATTACAGGGTAGTGACCCCATGAAGCAAAGGTCAAGAAATGAAGGATATAAAAAACAAAAAAAGTGAGTCAGGGATTTAAAAAAAAATTTTTTTTTTTTTAAACCACAAAAACAGTTGCCATCAACAATTCCAGCTCATTATGACTTCATGTGTAGCAGAGAAGGACTGCTTTCCAGAGAGCTTTCAAGGTGTGACCTTTTGGGAAGCAGATCACCAGATCTTTCTTTGGAAGTACCTCTGGGTGACTACAAATCTCCACCATTTTGATCAGTAGCCTAGCCGCCCATGGTCTCCATGAGTCAGGGATAAACCAAACTATACCTTGCTGCCTAATTGATTCTGACTCATGGAGACTGCATGTGTTAGAGTCCAACTGCTCCATAGGGTATTCCTGGCTGTAAACTTTATGGAAGCAGATTGCCAAACCTGTCTTCTGCGGTGCCCCTGGGTGGTTTGAAGCACCAACCTTTAGGTTAGTGGCAAACTCTTGTGCCCCTCACGTCCTGGAAGTCAGGGATAGAAGGATGCTAATCAAGAATGTGTTCATGAGGGGTCACGTACCTGGGCTCAGTCCTACCTGAATGGGGACTCTCAGAGGCGGTGGGGGTCACATGTTAGGAGTGTTCCTGCAAACCTGCCTCTCATTGGTTGAAGGCCACTCCTAACTTCTTGTGGTGTGCTTCTGAGTTGGTTCTGACTCATAGCGACCCTGTGTAGGGTTTCTGAGAAGCTGCTGGTGGGTATGAGCTGCCAATCTTGTGGTTAGCAGTCCAGTGCTTATCCTACAGTGCCACACCAGGACTCTTACTCCTGGGTTGTTGTTGTTAAGTGTCATCGAGTAGGTTTCAACTAATAGAGGCCCTGCATCTCAATGTAAGAAAACAAAAATCCTCACCACTGAATCAATAAACAACATTCTGATCAATGGAGAAAAGATTGAAGTTGTCAAGGACTTCATTCTTCTTGGATCAACTATCAATACTCATGGAAGCAGCAGTCAAGAAATGTATGTATTGCATTAGGCAAATCTGCTGCACAGGAACTTTTTAAAGTGTTGAAGAGCAAAGATGTCAGCTTGAGGACTAAGGTGCACCTGACCCAAGCCATGGTATTTTCAATAATCTCATATGGATGCGAAAGCTGGACAATGAATAAGAAAGACTGTGGAAGAATCGATGCTTTTGAGTTATTGTATTGGAGGAGAATATTGAAAGTGCCCTGGGCTTCCAAAAGAACCAACAGATCTGTGTTGGAAGAAGTGCAGCCAGACTGCTCCTTGGAGGCCAGGATGGCCAAACTTCGTCTCTCATACTTTGGACATATTGTCAGAAGGGACCAGTCCCTGAAGAAGGATATCATGTTTGGTAAGGTGGAGGGTCAGAGAAAAAGAGGAAGACCCCCCCCATCGAGATGGATTGGCAAAGTGGCAGCATCAATGGGCTCAAGCGTGGCAACAATAGTGAGGTTGGACCAGGACCTGGCAATGTTTCTTTCTGTTGTGCATAGAAGGTCGCTGTGGGTCGGTACCGACTCGATGGCACCTAACAACAACAATAAGGTTTCCAAGGAGTGGTTGGTGGGTTTGAACCTACAACCTTGTGGTTCACAGTCCAGTGCTTAACTCTCTGGCATCCCTCACTCCTGTCCTAAGCTCAGACTAAACATGCTCCGCAGCCAGAGAACACGATCCAGTAGATTAGGGTACATCAAGAGACTCTAGGGGGTCAGGAATCAGCAGCACCTGTTGCAGGATCCCATTTCTGGTGGTCATATTTGGCTGTGTAAGAACCAAGAGAGAAAGACGAGGCTTTCTGTTCCCGCAAAGATTTTCAAAGGTCTCGGGAACCCTATACAGAGTAGCTATCAAGGCAATTTAACAAGGATCAAGAAATAGGGTAGATTTTTGCTTTTGTCTCACCAGCTTTTTTTTCCTTCTCTCTTAACAGCTCCATATTTCATTTGTAAACTATCCCTTCCCGACTCTCAGACCATGGAGTTCAGGGACAATGGAATCCTCTGGGTTTAAGACTGGTCATACGACCCTGGCTTAAGCCAATTAGTACATTTCACCTTATTGGCCACAGCAATTGTGTTAGGGATGACCATGTAACTACTTGGAGCCAATGAAGTACAATAAAGATCTTTCCCTGGAGATTTCTGAGGCTTGTAAATCTTTGTGGGAGCAGAAAGCCTTGTCTTTCTCCAGTGGACAGCTGGTGGGCTCGAACTGCTGACCTTGAGGTTAGCAACCTAGTGCTTATCCTATAGCCTTCCCCATCTTCCCAGTAGCCTTTTAAATTGTGTGAGCTAATAAACTCCTTTTTTTATGTGTAAGCTATTTGGTTTGGGTTTTCTGACCTCCCACCAGGAATCCGGTGGGATGATCTCTTTAGTCCTAGCTCTGACGATGCTGTCAAAATCCAAGAGTCCATCTTTCCAGCACTGCTCTCAACACGACCTCCTCTTACTCGGGGTTGAGAGCTGCAAGCTGAGCGGGAGAGAAATTCAGGCCAGTCACCAGCACCCCCCTGGGCAGCAAGGAGAGTTCTGTCGCTGTTTTTCCTGGCACCCCAATCTTCTTGGTGGGTGTGGTCCACTCCTCAGCCCTTGCCTGAGACAGTTGTCCCCACCCACATCTCTATGTCGCAACAAGTGGGGGAAAACAGTGTTTGTTGTGTATTTTATGTGCCAGACACTGACCTAAGCAATTAACAAGAACTAGCGTAGTGGTTGCAAGTAGGGCTGCTGACCTCAAGGTCAGCAGTTTGAAACTACCAGGTGTTCCATGGGAGAAAGATGAGGTTTTCTGCTCCCATAAAGAGTTACAGTTTTGGAAACCCTATACAGGGTCACTATGAGCTGGAACCGACTCCATGGCACACCACCACCATGTCATAAAAGGACTTCTGGTGTGGCTCTACAGGATCAGCACTGGACTGAGAACCCACCAGCTGCTTGTGGGAAACCCTATACAGGGTTGCTATGAGTCAGAATTGGCTCGACAGCACCCAACAACAACAACGTTATATAAAGGAGTGCTGGTGGTGTTGTAGGATAAGCACTGGACTGCTAACCTCAAGGTCGGCAGTTCAAACCCACCAGTGACTCCAAGGTAGAAAAATGAGGCAGTCTGTTTTCTCAGAAACCCTAAGGGAGCATTTGTATTCTGTCCTATGGGGTCCCTGTGAGTCTGAATTGATTCAATGGCAATGGGTTGATGGGATGGAAGATTCCAAAAGGAGTCCTAGGAAGGCCGTGGTTATACATTAGGCTGTTCATGGAAAGATTGGAGATTCAAACCCCTAGCCGCTTCACAGGAACAAAATGAGGCTGAACATCTCTATAAAGATTTACAACCTCCTGTTTATCCTACAACAATTCTCCCCGATCCTACAGGGTCATTATGAGTCGGCAGTGGGTTAGGTCATAGCAACCCCATAAGGTGGTGCCCCCAATTATAGAGAAAGAAACTTTAGACGCCAAAGGATCAGGCTGCTTGGAAGGAAATTCGCATATTCGGAATACTCATCATCCGTAGCCCCATCTCCGCACTCAGTCCCTGCAAAAATATGCATCACACGGAGGGTCTGAACGGGTCTTACATAGCATCTCGTAGAGACTGTATCAAGGGCTTCGACACAGCAGCCCCCACACTACAAGCTGGAGCAGGTGGCCAGCTGGGCAGCACCCAGGGTGTGAACTACCAAGAGGCACAATTATGTCCCTGAAATAAACTGAGCGCAAGCTTCCACTGTGAGACTTCCTGTACTTAGTAAAACAGGAATGGATCCAGCTCTTCTGAAAGTAGACAGCGCCCCCAAGTGGGAGAAGCAACCATAACACCATCAATGACTGTAACACGGCTTGAGGGCTGGGGGCGCCACTGTTGGAGCTGGGCCATGGGTATATTGCATGGGAGTCTGGTGGCACTGTAAGGTAAGCACTGATAGTTCAAACCCACCAGGAGTTCTGCACTTCTCAAGCATAAGTACGTGAAATACAAGGGGGATTTAAAAAGTCTGTGGACAAATGGAATGAAAGGATAATGGAATTTCCCCCACAAACTTCTTTAAACCCCTGTCGTAAACCCCTCATTTTGCAGATAAAACATAACTGTATTTACTAAAGAAAACCAGTTTCCTCTGGACTGTGGCAGACTGCACCAATGGCCCTTATCCCTCATACCTTTTCCTTAGGATTACAAAGCTTCTCTCCACAGAGAGGCAGAGCCTATTTCCTGCCCCTTGCCTTGAGTTTGGCCATGTGACTTGCCATAAGACTTGCCTTGACTAATGGATGTTAGTGGACGTGATGTGAACAAAAATTGGCAAGTTCTGGGGGCAGTTGGGCATGGTTACTGTGCCTCTGTCATTCTTATGCGTAGAACATGCCCAAGCTAGCCCACCATCCCCAGAGGGGGAGAGTACCCAGGCTAGACCAATATACACATGACCCAGCTCCTGCTAGCTCACCATCCCAAGAGGATGAGAGCCCAGGCTAACCCACCATCCCAGAAGGAGTAGAGCCCGGGCTAGACCACCATGCCAAGTGGAGGAGGAAAGCCCAGGTTAGCCTGCCATTCCAGGAGGAGGAGGAGTACCCAGGCTAACCCACCATTCCAGGAGGAGGAAGAGAGCCCAGGCTAGCCTGCCGTTCCAGGAGGAGGAGTGCCCAGGCTAGCCCACTGTCCCAGGAGGATGAGAGCCCAGGTTAGCCCACTGTCCCAGGAGGAAGATGGAGAGTTCCATGGTGAATATGGCCAAGCTGAGCTGAGCCTGGACCAGTCAAGCCCCAGGTACTAATGAGCAGTCTGCGCAGGGTACTCATTCATCTCTTTTGTCTCTGGGCCCAGCTTCCCAGTATCACAAAGCTTCTCCCTGGGCCAGTTCTCCTGCCTCATTTCTGTTAGAACCAAGGTGAAAGGTGGGGCTGCTGACTGGCAGACAGATCACATGACTGAGCCATCCCAACAACGAGATCACAGGATCAATAACTGAAAGCACTGCTGAGGCTCTGAAGTGAGCAGCTCCATTTGTTGAGCATCTACCCTTTGTCAGGAGCATGCTGCGCATCTTCAATGCATGGTTGGGTTTTTAGCCATCAAGGTGAGTCTTCAAGGCAGGTGTCATATCCATTGCACAGACCAGGGCACTGAGGCTCAGAGAGGTTAAGCCACTTGTCTAAAGACACAGCGCAAGTGAGTGGAGGAGCAAGGCTTTCAAGCGCTTCTGAAAGGTGGCTTGTAATAGTCCTAATGCCTGGTGTTGAGTTGTAGGATAATCACTGGACTGCTAACCACAAGGCTGGAAGTTCAAACCCACCAGCTGCTCCTTGGGAGCCCTATGCAGGGCCACTATGAGTTGGAACCAACTCCATGACACTGAACAACACAACAATGCCCAGGACCAGCTGTCCTTCTCCTCAAATTTCTGTGCCCTGTTCTCATGCCTCATCTCCCTCCTTACTGTGGCTACCAGCCCTAGCTTAGCTCATTGATTCCACAAATTAATTTCTGGAAGCTTCCATCCCTGCTCATCTGTCCAATCCACTCCAGTCAGTTTTTTGGGTCAGTTGCCAAAGTGCCGAGATCCAACTTCTGCTTCCCTAGTCTGGCCCTGGTACGAGGGAACACAAAGAGCTTTGGCAGGAACTCTAAAACTTCTTCAGGACTCGAACCAAACAAAATATAAAAATAAGTGTCCAACTCTAATGACATCAATGGTCAATGCCAGTAATGGTAGCTTATGGCAGGCAGCATTTCTAAGATGGATCACCAGAGAACTTGGACATCAAATTAGATGGACTTTGGGTCATTCAAATGTGTGTATGGGGGGTAGAGGAGGGGGAGGTAGGGACTGATGCAGGTCTGGCCCGTGAGTCTAGGAGAACAATTTGGTTATTTGCTCAGCAATCAACAACCAAACAGTTCTCTTGTGGCAGGTGCTGCCCCCACGCTTGAGTGGCTTTGACTATGTGTTCTCACAGCAGGTGCTACCCACCCAGGGAAGACAGGGGAATCAGGCCAGGACCAAGGCACCAGGAGAATGAAGCATCTCTTCTGCAGTGGGGTCCAGGAGAGACAAGAGGACCCCATGTATAGAAACGTGATGTCGAGAGAGAGGACGCGGCTACTCACAAACTGACTGGGCAGAGTGGACATTCATCAGTGGTGTCTGGAGTCCCTGGTTGGTGCCAATGATTAATGTGCTTGATTACTAACTGAAAGATTGGAGGCTCAAGTCTACCCCAGAGATGCCTTGGAGGAAAGTCTTGGTGATCTATTTCCAAAAACCCAGCCACTGACAACCCCGTGGAGCACAGTTCTGTTCTGACACACATGAAGTCACCATGAGTTGAATCAACTTCATAGCAGCTGGGTTTAAGAGGTGCCGAAACATGGAATTGGATGCCTAAGTTTTGTTTGTCCACCAATCAGCTGGTTCTCAGATACTGCACTTATCACCCTATTAAGGGCCATAATACAAAGGAAATGCAAAGAGAAAAAGATGCCAGTTTCTCTCTCCATGTTCACCAGCACCATAGGTCCCTTCTGACGCTGACCATCCCTTAGGAAGGAGCTAGAAGAGACCTTTCCTGACTTGCCCCAGTGGGCCATTGGTTGTGGTTCCCAGGATTGTGGCTCACCCTTTCAGGAGCTATGGATTTTCCCTACCTGTCTGAGTTCTTCAGAGTCTCATCCAAGTCTATGCTCAAAGCCCTGCACATCTGGGAAAGTGCCAACAAATCTCCAGAGAAAGGATTTTTGGGGAAACGCCATCGGTTGGTTGAGCCAACGATCTTTCGCTCCAGCCGAGGTTTCTGCTTGGGAAACAAAGAAAGAGAGGACATCTTTCTTAACCTCATATAAATGCCAGATTTTCCAAATTTTAGAGCAGGAAGAAAACAAAGACAAAAATGTAAATGCTGGTTAATTTTCAAATACAACCAATATTCCTCACTGGGCATCTTTCACTTAAGACATTCACAATGTCGTGCAACTAACACCAAAGTCTAGTTCCAGAATATTTTCATCACCCTAGAAGGAAACCCCACACCCACTCCCCATCCACAATCCCCAGACCCTGGTAGCCAGACCCTGATTTCTGTCTTTATGGATTTGCCTATTCGAGATATTTCATATCAATAAGAGGCATAGAATATGGTCTGTGGTCTTCATTCAGTTGGCATAATGTTTTCAAGGTTGCATCTTGTGGTATGAATTGGTACTTTGGTGTATTTTTATGGCTGAATAACATTCCATTGTATGGATACCACATTTTATTTTTTCATCTGTGGATGGATATCTGAGTTGTTTCCACCTTTTGCTTAGTGTGAACAGTGCTGCTGTGAACATTGGGTTTTGCTTTGTTTGAAGAATTTTTGTTTGTATTCATTGAATATATACCTAACAGTGGAATTATTGGGTCATTGGGCATGGATTGTACTTAGAAATTATCTTGAGACCCACGGGCTTCAACAATTTCCTTGAGAGAACAGAAGAATACACAACACAGACTTGAAACTAGCAAGAAAACCTAAGAAAGGAAAGGCACACCTGTGAGGCACCTGTAGGAATGGGTGCAGGTGATGCTCAGCTACACAGGCACCAGCAGAGTGGTGGGGAGATCATGGGTCACAGATGAGAGGATCTGAGTTGAAATTTTGTTATTATAATTTGCTAGGTGTGTGACCTTGGACAAGTCATGTAACCCTTTGAGCCTTCTAGTTCTCATAGGTCAAATGGGAATGATGATGATGATGGAGGTGATCGAGGTGATGATGGTGGAGATGGTGATGATGGTGGAGATGGTGATGATGGTGGAGATGATGATGATGGTGGAGATGATGATGATGGTGGAGATGGAGATGATGGTGGAGATGATGATGATGGTGGAGATGGTGATGATGGTGAAGATGGTGATGATGGTGGAGATGGTGATGATGGTGGAGATG